AGCACTGATGTTAGCTGAGGGCCAGTCTTCCTCAGCAAAAAGAGGAGGATTGGCATGGATGTTAGCTCAGGGCTGATCTTCCTCACAAAAAAAAAAAGAAAGAAAGAAAAAGAAAAAGAAAAAAACTGGAAAAGAAGAAGTAAAATTCTGACTGTATGTGGATGACATGATTCTCTATATAGAGAACCCTAGAAAATCCACCACAAAACTATTGGAAATAATCAACAACTACCACAAAGTTGCAGGGTACAATATCAACTTCCAAAAATCAGTTGCATTTCTATACATTTATAATGACCTAGCAGAAGTCAAGAATACAATCCCATTTACAATCACAACAAAAAGAATAAAATATCTAGTAATAATTTTAACCAAGGAAGTGAAAGATCTGTACACTGAAAAGTATAAGACATTATTGAAAGAAATTGAAGATGACATAAAGAAATGGAAAGATATTCTGTGCTCATGGATTGGAAGAATAAACATAGTTAAAATTCCCGTATTACTACAGTAATCTACAGATTCAATGCAATCCCACTTAGAATCCCAATGACATTCTTCATGGAAATAGAACTAAGAATCCTAAAATTTATATGGAACAACAAAAGACCCAAAATAGCCGAAGCAATCCTGAGAAAAAGAACAAGGCTGGAGGTGTCACAATCACTGAATTCAAAATATACTGCATAGCTATCATAATCAAAACAGCATGGTATTGGACGAAAAACAGACAAACAGACCAATGGAACAGAATTGAGAGCTCAGAAATAAACCCACACATCTATGGACAGCTAATTTTTGACAAAGGAGCCAAGAACATACACTGGAGAGAGGAAAATCTCTTGAATAAATGGTGTTGGGAAAACTTGATAGTCATGTGAGAAAGAATGAAAGTAGACCATTATCTTACGCCATACACAAAAATTAACTGAAGATGGATTAAAGACTTAAATGTAAGAACTGAAAACATAAAACTCCTGGAAGAAATATAGGCAGTACATTCTTTGACACCAGTCTTAGCAGTATCTTTCAAATACCAAGTCCACTCAGGCAAGGGAAACAAAAAATAAACAAGTGGGACTACATCAGGCTAAAAAGCTTCTGCAAGGCAAAGGAAACCATCAACAAAATGAAAAGACAACCCACCTCCTGGGAGAAAATATTTGCAAATCATTATCCAACAAGAGGTTAATTTCCAAAATATATAAAGAACTCATACAACACAACACACAAAAAAACAAACAATCCAATCAAAAAATGGGCAGAGGAAATGAACAGACATTTTTTCAAAGAAGGTATACAGTTGGCCAACAGGCACATGAAAAGATGTTCAATATCACTAATTATTAGGGAAATGAAAATCAAAACTACAATGAGATATCACCTTATACCTGTCAAAATGGCTATAATTAATGACAAGAAATAACAAAGTTGGAGAGGATGTGGAGAAAAGGGAACCCTTATACACTGCTGGTGAGAATGCAAACTGGCACAGCCACTATGGAAAACAGTATGACGATTTCTCAAAAAATTAAAAACAGAAATACCTTATGATCCAGCTAGCCCGCTTCTGGGTATTTATCCAAAGAATACGAAAACACTAATTTGAAAAGACATGTACACTCCTATGTGCATCGCAGCATTATTCACAATAGCCAAGATATGGAAGCAACTTTAGCATCCATTGATAGATGAATGGATAAAGAAGATGTGGTACATATATACAATGGAATACTATGCAGCCATAAAAAAAGACAAAATCATACCATTTACGACAACATGGATGGACCTTGAGGGTATTATGCTAAGAAAAATAAGTCAGACAGAGAAAGAAAAATATTATATGACTTCACTCATATGTGGAAGATGAACAAACAAACAACACACAGATAAGGAGAATAGATTTGTGGTTACCAGAGGGGAAGGGGATGAGAGGAGGGCAAAAGAGGTAAAGGGGCACACATGTATGCTGATGGATGGAAGTTAGACTTTTGGTGGTGAACAGGATACAGTCTATAGAGAAGCTGAAATACAACAATATAGACCTGAAATTTACACAGTGTTGTAAACAAATGTGACCTCAATAAAAAAAAAGAATGACGTCTATATTTTTGACCAAATGGCTGAAACAACTGTTATTAACTGAAAATTGATTGAATGAGAGCAGGTTTTATGGTCTGGAAATCAGGAATCCTATCTTGGACATTTAGTATAAATATACATATACGAGGCTTTGAGAGCTTCAATTCATCGTAAGGCGCCTAAGCTCCTGCTATCTTCTTACTCGTTGCTTTAGCCCCACCCCTCCTATTTAACCGTCCCCTCTTTCAGCGTTTCCATAACCTCTTTTTCAGTTGCATCTGGTGAGTTCATAGCTGATATTTATTCTTTCACAGCACACTACTCTCTTTCACTCATCTCATCACTGACGTTGGAGAAGGTTAGTGAAAGACCTGAACTGAGTGATATTTTTCAGATCCCGTGCTCTCTTGCAGTCCCCACCAAGCCAAAGAGAAGCCTACCTTCCACCAGGACTGCCCCTTCTGCAGCCACCCACTCAATGTAAGTATGTATATCCATAATTATGCCAGGAAAAAAAAAGCAGCCTGCTTGGTCACCTTGCAAGGGCAAAGTTATTTGTAGCAAACCCCACTGTATTAGAAAGCCTTCCTTTAATATTATTTGCAACCCTTCAGAAAAAGCCAAACCCAGATACTCATGTGCATAACACAAGATCCACTTATCCACACTGCTCAAGGGGCTGTCTTTAGGGTTTCCAGCAACCTCTTTGTGGTCCTCCTTATGATATTTCAACCAAACTATCCTCAAATTCCCACTACCCCTGCACAAAAATTGAATAATAACATAAGACCTGCACTAGTTCTGAAATAAGTAGCAGCTGTTGATACCGACTAATGTCTGTCTTCACTGAGAAGGATGAGCAGGCAAATACTGAATATAACAGAATGATCAGCAGCTGAAAATAGCAACCAATGCAGGTAACCTAAAAGACCTTTTTGGAAACACAATACTTTGTTGCCAAATTTTACAAATTAAAAGCAACAAAGCTAGTGAAGAGCAGAGTAGCCCCTGATTTAGGTGATTAAATAAAGGAATTCTCCCAAAATGCGCAGCAAATAATAAAATAAAAGCTAGATATAAGATGGAAATTAAACCCAGGGAGGATTGATTCAGGAGATAAAATATCAACATATAAGTTTCAGAAGGGAAGTGGGGGAGAAATGACCATCTATTGCAGAGAAAATTGTTGAAGAACAATCTGAGAAAACAGATTCCAGGATAGAAACTGACTGAAAAATCGAACATCAGTGCAATGCAATTGAGGCTTTAAAGGGGTATCAGACTATATTATTGGAGTCAATAATCATGGACACTAATTTATCAGTGAGGGTGGTCAAAAATATTTCCTGGAAGAAATAAGGCCCAAACTGAATCTTACAGAACATTCTAGAAAAAGGAAACAACATGGAAGAAATCTTAGAGATGTAGATTAGCATGACTCATTCAAGAAACTGTGTATTCATTTTGTTCAGATCTAGCAATCCCATGGTGGATTATGTGTCCATGTTTCCTTTCGCTAAATATCATAACCCGTAAGAATATTAACAGGAATATAAAGTTTAAGTTCACCTGTGTTCCACAACACCAAGACTTCTCTAATTTAAACCAGATGCCGAGAATCTTGGATGATCTCTGGGGCCTGAACAGGCTTAGGGTCAACCTTCTGTCATCCTTGTGAGCTCTAGTGTGCATTTTCCTCATACATTTCAAAGTTAGACATGATTGCTATATCATCAAAAATTTTAATTAAATTCATACACATAGGTACACACACACACTGTGAATGATAGAGTTTGGGCCATAATAATGGCCAGAGATACTGACCTTCTTCCCTTTTGGCTATAAGATCACTGACCACACACACACACACACACACACACGCAAACAACACAATGTTGCAGCAGGGAAACAGTCTCACCATCAGACTGAAAGTCGAATGATGACAGAACATTTCTACTATCTAGACTGACTGTTTGGACACTGTTCCTTCAAAGACTACCCAAGTCACATGTTGTACCTTTGAGAAATGAGACACTAACAACATCCTATACACCCCATCATTCTGGGCAAAGTCCCAAAAAGAAATAAGGGATGCACTTGACCTGACTGGGTAAACTTGCACCTAGTCTATCAGGTGATAAGGTCCATCCAATGTGGAGCTCAAAGATTCCATTTTTCTGCTTGTCTTTATAAAGGAAGCCACCCGGCTTCTCCCAGCACAGAGTTGGGAGCACCTCCAGAGCTTCCTCCAAGATGCTGCTGGTCCTGCTCTCAGTGGCCTTGCTGGCCCTGAGCTCAGCTCACAACCCAAATTATGGTAAGAAACAAAAATATGCTGTTATGACTTTGCTTGGGGCTTGGGAGATCATGCTGCAGTGAGGAAGGGGCTGGGAGAGGAGGGAAATGAGAGGAAAGAGGAGGTTGCAGAGTTCTTAAGACAGGATAAGGCCAGTCATGCCCTCATTACATGACTAGGCTTTACACTTTATCTAATGTGCACTTGAAACCCAATAAAGAATTTTGACCAGGGGAATGACAAGATAAGATTTACGGTTTTAGAAAGGTCTCTCTGACTGTGCTGTGAAGGATACACTGGAGGATGGCGAGACTGGTACAGGGGAAAGTGAGTCGTGAAGATATGGTAATCAATGTAGGCAGTGGACGAGGTGGCCTTGCTAGGGGATGCAGTATAGATGAAGGTAAACACACATCAGAGCTATTTCAGAGATACAGAATAGGATACGAGATTTCTCTCTCTCTACATACAGATACAGAGATAACAGAACCCGATGTTCTCATTTTTCTCCCATCCGTATTTAATATTTCAACGTGCTGTGACTGATATGTGGAAGATGGTAGCCAATTGTTTATGCCTAGTCACTCCCCTAGAGAAAGCATGTTAATATAAGTAAAGTATTTAATGAAGAAATAGGGCAGGAGGAGACTAAAACATGACTTTGAAATACCACAGCACTTAGCTCAACTTAGCATTAGGGTTTGAGGGATCCTTGGGAAGACACAAATGGTCTTTTCTATTTTGATCTTGTGGTTGATACTCAGCATAGTAACAACCCTGCCACCCCCTTACATCTTGCCCCATTTCTCAAGGCATCACAGACCATGGCTGACATGTTGACTTAAGGGGTATAAGGTAGTGGTTGGAAGGGTTCCTTTCCCTGTAGAATAAGTGTGAGTTCTGAAAGATTTGGGACTTAACTTTTCACTCCATCTTGTGTTTTTTTCCCAGAAGACTCCTATGAAGAATTTCTCATATCAGGTAAATTCCAATTAATCTTCAATCAACTTTCTTTCCATTCTTTCTCAGGAAGTTTTCACCTCCTTGTCATCATTTTCCTGTCAAGAATTGATCAATATTAGTAACCCTAGAAATATAGGCAATCCTTTACCCAAGCTTGATTCTGGGGACCGTAAGCAGGGCCCCAACATGAGCAACAGAGATGTCTCTGGCATGGATGACCATAGGAGTGTGCTGCCTGTTCCCTCAGGCCAGCAATGACTGCTGAGAGGTGACAGAAAAAGGGCAGTAGTCCTAATTCTGACCCCTCAATCCCACTGAGAACGAACCCCTCAGCTGTTTCCTGCTTCCCCAGTGATCTTCTCTATAAATCTATAGTTTAAGAAGAAATGCAAAGAAAAAAGAGTCTGAGTCCTTTTCCTCTGTGTGTCTCCACTCAGCTGTGCCCCTGTAGCTGATAAACATTTACCACCGTTCTTTAGTGAAGCCCGTGTGGGCCATCACTTTGTCTTTCTCTCTCTCTTAGGATTTTTCTACCTGGGTCTTGGATCCTGAGGTTTCCGCATAGAGCTCAAGAGGTCAGACTTGGAGTCACAGTTATCAAATTATGTCAATGACTCAAAATATAACTAGCAGCACAACTGACATTAACAATCCCTTTGCTTTTACTCTGTCCTTGGAGACATTCTTTGAGATATCTCTAAGATATCTCTTAGATATCTCTAAGATATCTAAGGCTTGCTTTTTCATCAAACTTAAACTCACATGCTTGTCTCAGGAGCAAAGAACTAGAATATCAATATCACTAGTATGCTGATTAAGAGGACTACTGCATAAGGAAGCAGTGGGCAGGAGGGAGGTTGAATTTAAGAAGTTGAGAGGCAGGTTCTGGGAGAAAGGGACTGTCAGGTAAGGTCTTCAGAGATCAAAATGAGAGAGGAGTCTTCCATCTGTAAGCTCATCTATTCTTGTGCCATACCCTTGCAGATGAAGATAGCTCAACTCAGAGTCAAGATCAGGAGGGTCAGAGACCACCTCCTGGAGGAATCCCACCTAGACCCCCTTCTGAGGTTGAAAAGCAAAATAATGGCACTCAGGAGAGACCACCCCTACCAGGAGGTCTCCCACCTAGACCCCCTTCGGAGATCGAAAAGCAAAATAATGGGACTCAGGGGAGACCACGTCGACCAGGAGGACGCCCACCTACACCCTCTTTTGAGGATGTAAACCTAAAGGATGCACCTCAGCAAAGACCACCCAGACCAGAAGGCAATCAAAATGGTCCTCCCCCACCTCCTTCTGGAAGGCCCCAGAGACCACCACCCCCAGGTGGTAGACCACCAAAACCTCCAGAAGGCCAGCTACCCCAGTAAGGTGGAATTCACTGACAGGTATGAGTCAAGTTCACTCTCCATCAAAGGCCCTAACTCCTACAGTTCTCAAACATTAGTGTGCCAGTGAATCAACTGGAAACATGTTGAAATTGCAGAGTCTTAGGGCCCATTTCTAAAGATTTCTATTCAGATACTCTAGAATAAGGTCAAGACCCTGTATTTTTAACAAGCTGTCCAGGGTAATTCTGATTTTGAGAAACACTGCCATAAGTTGCCTTTTTCCCAAGGATTACATGCCTCATTTTTCTTTCTTTCTTTTTTTTTTTTTTTGTGAGGAAGATTAGCCCTGAGCTAAAATCCGTTACCAATCCTCCTCATTTTGCTGCAAAATATTGGCCCTGGGCTAACATCCGTGTCCATCTTCCTCCACTTTATATGGGTTGCCACCACAGCATAGCTTGACAAGTGGTGCATTGGTCTGCACCCAGGATCGGAACCTACGAACCCCAGGCCACTGGAGCGGAGCGCGAGAACTTAACTGCTATGTCACTGGGCCGGCCCCAGGACTATCAGTCTTAAAATGGGCTGGTCATGAGGAAGTAGAGAGTGTTCTCCCTTTGGTCCTCCCCTCTGCTCCTCAGACTCATTGACTTCCCATCTCAAGTTTCCACCTGACCACTATTTACTTAATTCTGCCTCACACCAGACTCTTGGATCTAGTTTCCCTGCTAAATTTTATGCTTCTAAGTGCTATCTAGGTTTTTAAATATTTATTTTCGAATTGATACGTGATGAAGTTGAGACAAAAATGAACAGAGCTGAATGGTATGAAATTCAATCTTAAAGACATATCTCATCCTATCTCCCCACATCCCTCCCCAAAACCCACCACTGTTAACAATTTTGAGCATCTTCTCGGAAAAATTCATACCTATGTAAACATAAACGAATCCTTTATTATCACAAATGATATCATACTTTATATGTAGATTTAATGTTGTTCATCTCTAGTAAGATATTTCTTAGAAGTTCCATTTCAGTTCATTGAGATATATGGCCCCACTTGGTCTTTTCTTTTGGCTCTGTTTTACCATTATATACTATTCTATTGTTTGGCTGTGCCAAGATTTCTTTAACCCACCACCTACCTTTGGATATTAAGGCTCTTTTCCATTTTTTCATGATTATAGAATATGCTGAAGCAACCATCTTTGTAAATATATCTTCGAACATTTTCAATAGCAACCAAAAGATAAACAGCCTAAGGATAATCTTTTTCCTTCATCTTGCAAGCAACTCTTTAGAGCACATTATCTCTTAGGTGCATAAAAACAGGAAACAAGAAATTAGAAAGGAACAGGTAGAGGGAGAAAAGAGAGAGGGAGAGAGACGGACTCTCACATACTTCGCTGTAACACCAGCAAGGGATTAGAAACTACCTGCCATGTTCTGGCTTCTCTATTAACTTCCCTTTCTTTTTGTTTGTTTCAGAAAACGAATATGAAGACAACAGTCCTTCAGAAAGCCATGACATTGGAACAATGCAGTCTATCTTCAATATACCAATAAAATAATCAGCATCCAATATCTGAGTCCATCTCTCATTTGGGGTGTTTGTGAGTCTGGAACTTGAGGGTCAAGAACACAGCACAGGAACATCAAGACCGCTTCTCATTGATGCTTCCAGCAAGCTTCATCCTGGGCCACTTTCCTCAGAAACACTTTTGCTTTGTCCTTTGGTTGGGGACGGGAATAGATTTCTCTCTTTCTCCCCGCTATTGCCTATTCCTTCCCCCCAACACCTTCATTCACAAGCCAGCTGCCAAGTGAAAAAATTTCAGTGTTCCTCTCTTCTCTGAATTTTACACCACATAAGCTATTTTTTAAGATTAGTTTTCAGAACTTTTACTGATATGCTAGTACTTTTAAAGAAACAATTCTAACAAATGTGAGGAAGTTGCACAGGCTGACAGATTCTTAAAATTTACAAAATGCTTTATTCTAGTTTCTAGGCAAATGAATGTGGGTCTAGGCCTCTTCTCCTCCTAAACCACTATATCCCCTCCTCTCATTTTTATCATTGCTCAATTCTCTCCTCCCTAGGTCCCCCACCATTCCGTAACAAAACCTGAGTGAATTTCATAAAGGAGATAGCATGATGCATTTTTTTTTAATTTTTTGTTTATTGCAGTAACATTGGTTTATAACATTGTATAAATTTCAGGTGTACACCATTATACTTCTATTTCTGCATAGACTACATCATGTTCACCACCCAAATACTAATTACAGCCCATCACCACACACATGTGCCAAATTATCCCTTTCGCCCTCCTCCCTCCCCCCTTCCCCTCTGGTAACCACCAATCCAATCTCTGTCCCTATGTGTTTGTTTATTGTTGTTATTATCTACTACTTAATGAAGGAAATCATATGGTATTTGACCTTCTCCCTCTGACTTATTTCACTTTGCATAATATCCTCAATGTCTATCCATGTTGTCACAAATGGCTGGATTTCATCATTTCTTATGGCTGAGTAGTATTTCGTTGTATATATATACCACATCTTCTTTATCCATTCTTCCCTTGATGGGCACTTAGGTTGCTTCCAAGTCTTGGCTATTGTGAATAACGCTGCAATGAACACAGGGATGCATGTATCTTTGTGCATTGATGTTTTCAAGTTCTTTGGATAAATACCCAGCAGTGGAATAGCTGGATCATATGGTAGTTCTATCGTTGATTTTTTGAGGAATCTCCATACTGTTTTCCATAGTGGCTGCACCAGTTTGCACTCCCACCAGCAGTGTATGAGAGTTCCCTTCTCTCCACATCCTCTCCAACACATGTTGTTTCCTGTCTTGTTAATTATAGCCGTTCTGACGGGCGTGAGGTGATATCTCATTGTAGTTTATTTTTTTTTTTTTTTTTTGTGAGAGGAGAACACCCCTGCGAAAACACCCCAAAACCCCCCTCTTTTTTTGCTGAGGAAGACGGCCCTGGGCTAACATCTGTGCCCATCTTCCTCCACTTTATATGGGACGCCGCCACAGCATGGCTTGCCAAGCAGTGTGTCGGTGCGCGCCCGGGATCCGAACCAGCAAGCCCCAGGCCGCCGCAGCGGAGCGTGCGCACTTAACCACTTGCGCCAGCGGGCCGGCCCCTCATTGTAGTTTTGATATGCATTTCCCTGATAGTTAATGATTTTGAACACCTTTTCATGTGTCTGTTGGCCATCTGTATATCTTCTTTGGAGAAATGTCTGTTCAGGTCTTTTGCCCATTTTTTGATTGGGTTGTTAGTTTTTTTGTTGTTGAGATGCATCAGTTCTTTGTATGTTTTGGAGATTAAGCCCTTAGCATGATGCATTTTAAAATAGAAGCAAGGAATTTGGAGTCCTTCAGAAATGAGTTGAAGTCCTAACTCTTTTTCCCGCCAGCTCTGGACTTGAGCATGCTACTTAAACTCTCAGAGCCTGTTTCCTCCTCTATCAATGAAGATAATAATAATACCTACCCTAAGGGATACAGAGTAACAAGATAAATTACATAAAAACCTAGCAGAGATTGCTTTCACCTCTTCCTAATAAGTATTTTAAGGAATAATAGTAGACATGAAATTGTAAGGAATTGAATGCTCCAAATTAAAAACTTTCAGATCCGTTTGTCAGAAGATCTAATTGCAATAATCTCTGACAATGTCTCTTCCAGATTTTAAAAAGAAAAGAAAAAAAATCACTTTGTCTATATTTTTCAGCATCTTCTCTCTTACCATTCTATTTGTAAAATTCTTATCATTTTTTTGAATGAGTATATAACTAGTCTGTTGTGTATATTGTTACACATTTAATATTGACATTTAATTCACGACAATTTGAAATAGAAAGTCTTCTCAAACTTCTACCAGATCAGGAATGTGTTAGTTCATATAAAGAAGCATTGCCTACATAATATCAAAGTTTGTCCACCACCAAATTAGAGTCTAGTATCTAAAATGAGTAAACAGAAAAAGAAAAAAACTCATTTAAAACAGATTACATAGCTGGTTCTTAGACTAAAACAATGAAAGAGACAAAGTTCTTACAATTCTAGTAAAGGAAAAAAGAACAGAAAACACTACAAACTACAGAAAAGAAAAGCGTAAATTAACTTTAGATACACAGATTTTTAAAAGAAGAAGAAAACATTATGTAAAACTCTATTCTGATATGAAAATTTCAATGGAGTTGACATTACAGTAAGATGATGTAAATTACCAAATTTGACCCAAGAAGTTTAGGAAAAGTTGAATAGAAAAAAACCTCAAAAGAAATGGAAGAAGTAGGGGCCAGCCCGAAGGGGTAGTGGTTCAGTGCACACACTCCACTTCGGTGGCTTGAGGTTTGTGGGTTCGGATCCCAGGTGGGCACCTAGGCACCACTCATCAAGCCATGCTGTGGTGGCAACCCACATACAAACTAGGAGAAGATTGGCACTGATGTGAGCTCAGGGACAATCTTCCTCAGGCAAAAAGAGGAGGCTTGACAACAGATGTTAGCTCAGGTCCAATCTTCCTCGTGGAAAAATAAAAATAAGAAATAAAGAAATGGAAGAAGTCGATAGGAAACTGTCTCCAACAATCTATCACTATTACCTCCAACATCAATGAACATAGCAAATTTTAATACATTACTTTTTATATCATGTAAGAACACATAATTCTTATGACATTTAAATTGTTCTCAAATATAGAAAAGGTTAACAAACTTCTAAATTCATTCAGTGTGATTCACAAAACAAGATATACAGACCTGCAAAAATATTTCAAAGATATCTGTACACCCATGTTCGCAGCAGCATTTTTCACAAAAGCCAAAAGGTGGCAGCCACAAAAATGTCTTTCCATGGATGACTAGATAAACAAAATGTGGTATATGCATACAACGGATGCAACATTGTGATTTGTAAGAAATATATATATATTTGGTCATTCAGATGACCAAAATGTGTTTTCAGATATATTTGGTCTTCATCCACAGTTCCTGACCCACAACTCCCC